GGAGCGAAAGCATCACCAGAGAGTTGATGAGGCGGGTCCCATGAATATCGGAGCGACACAAAGTCGCACGCCTCCAATTCGCCGTGAAAATGCCTCATTTGATTTCAGAAAGGTGCGGCTATCACGACACTTTGCAGTCTTTGACTCCATATCTTTATTTTACGTTTTAGGTAATCTGGAACGACGAAAAGAAGTCCAATCTAGACGGACCTGACAGTAGAAGGGGGTATCTGCGCAAAGCACCCTTGGTTTTGGAGCGACGTAATTTCGGTGGGGGATCTCTCATGGTTTGGGGCGCCTTTTGTGCGGCTGGACATCTTGGACTTGCTTTTGCTTCCTGTCGTATGGAATCTTTAGAATACCAGAGAGTGCTGGAGGAGCGACTTTTACCATTTCTTCGACAACACCGTCGTCGTTCATAGACTTTTATGCATGATAACGCGGCTGTCCATGCCAGTCGTTCCACTTCGGATTGGATTGCAAGTAGAATTATCACAGTTCTCGAGTGGCCTGCTTGTTCTCCAGACTTGAATCCAATGCGGAACGTCTGGGCCTATTGTCAAGAAGATCTACGACGAAACAAAGCAGTACAACACAGTCGAAGAGCTCAGACTGTCCATCCTCGACGCTTGGACAAATTTGGATCCCAATTTGATAGCTAGCTTGGTTGAGAGCATGCCAAGACGCATTGATGAAATGCTTGCGAATAATCGAGTACCAACCCATTATTAAGAAGTTGCAACATCCACTCTGTTGTAATAAACTTTCCCCTTAAAGAAAGTGTAATCATACTCATGGGAAGGTGATAATACCTTCAAAGGAAATTATTTCAACAATTCTAGAGTTAAAATTCATCACTAAATCTGTTTTAAGGTTTCCCGCTATGAGGAATTTATTGGTTATGGCAACATTTTTCAAAAGTGCGCTGCAAGCTTGGAACTCAAAAAATTAGGGCTGCCCTATATTCGTGAAACGCAGTGTATTATCTGGGTGGGAAAACCACTTAGGAAGGAGTGTTACACCCTGTAGAGAAAATATCCATCACCGCTACGCAAGGCCCTGAGTCAACTCATTCGTTATTATCATACAAAAGAAAAAACTGAAGTAGCTTTCACACTTCTGCCGCTGAAGGGATAAAATGCGAAAATCGATTGATGTGTTGGTAGTCAACTGTGTGGGCAGAAATGTAAAAGTTGCAAAAAAAAATCTTCAAAACTGCGCTCAGTGT